AAAGGGAGAGGAGGGGTGGGGAGGGGAATGGAAGGGCAGTGGAAGGGGAGGGGAGGGATGGTGAAGAGAGCGGAGGGGAGGGGAGCAGAGGGGTGTGGAGGGGAGGAGAGGGGTGATAAGAAAGAGGGGAACGGAGTGGAGGGGGGGAGAGGACTTCACCTGAGGACATGGGCAAGCTCCTGCTGGCTTCAATAGCTCACCGAAATCAACATTCACATCCTGCCAACTGCATTCCAAGCACAGCAGTCTAGCTGAGTGCAGCAAATGGGAAGGCACTTCTGCAGGAGATCTCAGACAACTTCCCAAGATCAACACAAAAACCTTCAAGCTCAAAAGGGATCACTTGCAAGGCAAGCATGTAGTGGACAGCGCTCTGAAATCCCTCTGCTGTGGGGATGAGCTGCTTGTGCACCCTGTGGGTTTGCACTGCCTTCTGTTCCCTCCACCTCCAGAAACCTGGGATGGTGCATTTCGGAAGAACAAGCTCAGCTTTTTGTAGCTTTATTGGAGACAATCAAGGCTTGGTGTCATACAGCTGCTCTGACCAGCTGATTGAAGCATTCGAGAAGAGCAGCAGAACCAATGTGCAGCAACATGGCTAGGAAGGATGATGGGGTTCTGTGAAAGAAATGCCTTCCCCAGAAGCAAGCAATGCACTGGAGGAGGCACCAAAACCAAATCCTGCTTGTACCATTCATTTTCCTCATTCCATATGCTGTCTTTCATTTTAAGAAAAAAAGACTGTGGAGAAGAAAGCTCCAGAACAACTTAGATACTTTATTCGTCCCCTTCCTTTTCCTCTACAGATGGTTCACAGAAAACCTCCAAGAACCACATTACTGCTCTCCTCACCCTTCCCTCGGGTTCATCAGTGCACTCACAAATTACTGAGAGCAACACATGTACACAGACACACAGAACATCCCTACACAGCTGCTTCTCCTTAGGAAACGGCATCAAAAAGCTGCTGGCAGGAAGAGTAGAAGAAGAAACCTGGCATGGTGAGAAAACTGCTTTGGGTAGCAAGGAAAGGCCATTTGAAGCTCCTGGCTTAAGTCCCTTCTGCAGAGGGTGCCAGTAATGCACCAGAAACATTGTAGGGCCAGTGAGGAGCTCTGCACAAAGCCCTTCTCACACTCGAGGCAGTTCTGAGGCTTCCTGCTACATGAACTCACTGGTGCAGGCACGGTTTGGACTTCACCCAAGTGCAATCTCTCTAGTACCTCACCTGGTTTGAGCTGTGGCCAAAGTTCTTCTTGCAGGCTGCACATTTGTAGGGCTCCTCACATAGATCCACTGCTGTGTGATGAGTTCCCAGATCTGGACAGACCTCTTCCTGCAGTCGAGGCACTCACAGGGACTCTCCTCTTGGATTGGCTCTCTGGTGTCTACTGAGGGTTGAGCTCCAGATGAAGCTCTTCCCACACTCTGCAGACAGGATTTCTTCCTTCCTGGTGACATATCAGCCCAGCTGAGATTTCCTTTGGGTCCTCACCTGCTGCCCCACAGCATAGGAGTTTCTACGGGGGAGGATCAGAGGTGACTTTCCTTGCACACAGCCCTGGCAGAAACATGGCACCCTGCAGAGGGTTTCCTGTGGCTGTGACACATCCCTCCCTGGATTCTCCTTTCTATGGCCATTCAATGCAGCAACTACAGCTGAAGGAGAGCAATATGCATAATTCTCATGCAAAGAAGGAAAAGAGGATTCAGTTTGACCGCAGAGCTCTTCCTCTACTCAAGGGATTTGTAAGGTTCATCACCACACAAAGCCATAGTTGGTCACCAGGCTGGGGCTCCGGCTGAAGCTCTGCCCTTGTTCAGGACTCTGCAGGCACTGTATCTTGTGTGGTTGTGCTGGTAGGTAACAGGACTGGAGCCGCTTATGAAGTTTCCCAGCATCTTGAGGTGCATCTAAAGCTTGTGTGCGCTGTGGATGTGCTTGTGGTTTGAGACTAGTTCTATGTTTAAAGCTCTTTTCACACTCAGAGCACTTGTAGGGTCTCTCTCCTGTGTGGATGTGCTGGTGTTGCTTCAATTCAGAACTGCTTCTGAAGCTCTTCCCACACTCAGAGCACTTGTAGGGTCTCTCTCCTGTGTGGATGCGCTGGTGTTGCTTCAATTCAGAACTGCTTCTGAAGCTCTTCCCACACTCAAGACACCGAAATGGTTTCTCTCCTGTGTGGATGCGCTGGTGGTAGATGAGCTCGGAACGGCTTTTGAAGCTCGTCCCACACTCAGAGCACTTGTAGGTCTCACTCCTGTGTGGATGTGCTGGTGACGCTTCAGTTCAAAACTGCTTCTGAAGCTCTTCCCACACTCAGGGCAATGAAATGGTTTCTCACCTGTGTGGAAGTACTGGTGGTAGATGAGGTGGGAACTGCTTCTGAAGCTCTTCCCACACTCAGAGCACTTGTAGGGTCTCTCCCCTGTGTGGAAGCACTCGTGGTACTTCAGTTCAGAACTGCTTTTGAAGCTCTTTCCACACTCAGAGCTCTTATAGGGTTTCTCACCTGTGTGGATGCGTTGGGAGGTGAGTTGGGATCTCCTTTTGAAGTTCTTCCCACAGTCTGAGCACTTGTATGGACTCATTGCTGAGCGTATGCCCTGGTGCTTAACAACGCTGGAATGTATTTTAAAGCAATTTCCACACTCAGTGCATGGATTCTGCTTTTTTTTCTGGCACAACTCCTTGCTCCTGGGCTCTTCGGGCTCTTTGCGACCTATGTTGAAGTCCAGTGGGCTCCTTGATGTCTTTCGCAGACACTTTCCCAGTGGCTTCATGATGTGCTCACCCTGACCTTGCTCCAGGCCTCCTTGGACATCCCTTCTGATTTCTTTCGCACAGACACTACCCCACTGCCTTTCAGCCTCACCACTTTTGTGCAGGTCCTCCAGTATATCTGTAATCCCAGTTCCTGCTGGATGAAAGAGGAAATCCAGAAACAGCACACAGTGCCCAAAATAAAACCAAGACAGTGACGGCTCTTCCAGCCCCAACCTCTTCCTGCCCTCCACCACCTCACCTGGGCTGAGGTCTCCTAGCAAGGCCCCAGAACTACGCGCATCTGGGATCCAGGGGTCTTCCCCTCCTTCAAGCAGGGAGATCACCATGGGTTTGGGGGCTGGAAGTGGAGCTTCAATGAGAGAAACAGGGGAGATGAGAACTTTTCCACCATTCTAGCACAGTGCCTCTTCAACAGCTCCACTCTGTGTTCCTCCCCAGGGAGAAACCACACTTTGGGCCTGAATGACACTGGGCCCACAGCTTCCTTTGGAGCAAAGAATGCTTTTACAACTCTGAAAATTATGAAGAAATATTTTCTTTAAAATTAACTTGAGAACAGCTTGTTTATTTTCTGACAATATATCAATGACCAAGGCATCAAAACGTCTATAGCAAGTGAATGCAAAATCCTACATTGTAAAGGAGTAACCAGGGAGCCATCTGTTAGGTCAAGCTGGTGGCATCATGCAACACAACAAAAGAAGGGCAGGTTTTCTCCCGCCTGGCTGATGCCTGCTTGCAAGCACTGACACCGGGGCTTTTATCAGAGTGCTGTGCATACTAACCCCTCCTGAAACTCATGCTTCTCAGTATTTCCTTTGTTGCTGTCGTCGTTATCAATATGTAACTGCATGGCAATTATTCAAGGCCCGGCCTGCAGAGGCTCATTCTGCACAGCCAAAGGTGCCCTAACGAGGAGGAAAGGCAGCAAAGCCCTCACCCAGCGAGGCCACGCACTGGTACGTCTCCAGCATCACGTCCCGGTAGAGCGCTCGCTGCGCAGGGTCCAGCAGCGCCCACTCCTCCCTGCTGAAATACACGGCCACCTGCGCAAAGCTCACGGGCTCCTGCAAGCAAAGAGGCTCCTTGCTGGGAACAGCCAAGGCCCAGGGCAGCAGCTCGCACAGGACACAAACTCCCATCCCAGCCGCTTCTCTGGCCCCAGCACACACGTGCTGCCTGAGGGCACCTCCCTCTCCCCCGGCATTCGCATCCCTCGCCCCTCGCCCTCTCCCGCCTGCTGCCCCCAGCCCCTACCTGACATGGATGTGCTGTGGCCATCTGCTGCTCTCCTGCAGGTGAGATGATCATGGCTGGAAGGCAGAAGTCAAACTGGAGCCTGCAGGGACAAGGGAAATGGCAGGGGAGCTGTGACGGAACGCAGCAGTCCCTGTCCCAGCCCAGCCCTCCACAGCCCATCTGCAGGGCACTGCCTGGGGGATGGCACAGCAGGCCTTGCACAGGAAGACAATCAGCATCAGTACTGGTAGCACTCTGGCTAAAAGAAATGAAACATCACAAAACTGTCTCAAAATGGGGGGCTGAAAGAACTGATAGCTGACACTCAGTACAACAGCTGAAGGCCTACTGAGCCTGGGACTTAAGACAAAGCATGGCAAGGAGTCAGTCATCTTACCCCAAAACAGAGAGCAGCCCAAGCACCCCTTGAGCCTTCCTGCACAGGAGCGGGCTGCACGGCAGGGTCTCTCCTCAAGCAGTGATGTCTCTCGAGGTCACACCTACACAGAGATCCCTGGCACCTTGATGTCAAGACTCCTACTCGATATAGATCTTCCGTAATAGACTCATGATTACTTTGGAGTTTTGTGAGCTTCTCTAAGATGATGTGTAAGAGTGAAGATCTGATAGTTATTATAGAATCATAAGATTGGCCTGAGTTGAAAAGGAACTCAAAGATCATCTAGTTACCACACCCTACTGTCTTGGGTCACCATCCACCAGAGCAGTCTGCCCTGAGCCACATTTGGCGAGTTGCAAAAGGAGGCTCCTGGAATGTGTTGACGATAACTTTCTGGTCCAGGTGTTGGACAGACCGACCAGAGGTGAAGTGCTGCTGGACCTGCTGCTCACCAATGTGGAGGAAATAATTAATGGTGTTAAGGTTGGAGGCAGCCTGGGTTGCAGTGACCACGCTCTGGTCGAGTTTGTGATCTCGAGAACTGTGGGCCTGGTGAAGAGTGGCATCAGGACCCTGAACTTTGGGAGAGCAAAATTTAGGCTGTTCAATGGACTGTTGGCCGAGATCCCCTGGGATGCTCTCTTTGAAAACAAAAATGCTGAAGAGAGCTGGTCACTCTTCAAGGATGCCTTCCTAAGAGCGCAAGAACTCTCTGTCCCACTGAACAAGAAAGCGGGCAGAGGAG